TCGGGTCTTCAAGCAGTGTGCCGCCTGCTCCCACAAGATTCCTTTATCAGACGCCCACGACAAATGCCTGTTTTGTTTGGGTGAATCCCATCTCGATCAGACTTGCATTGCCCACAAGGGCATTTCTAAACAAGCCATTAAGCTCAGGCGCCAAAGACTTCGGTCTTTCCTCTACAAAAAGACTCTTCTTCCCACCATGGAGAGCTCTTTCCTCCCTGCACCAACTCCTCCACGTTCTGAGGTCTCTAAACAGATTTCTGCTGAGCAGGTGGCTCTTACCATTTCCCTTCCTGTGAAACCCAAGGAAGCCTCTAAATTGCCTAAAGCCAAGAGGTCTTCTCATCCTGCCATTCCTGCAAAAAAGAAAACCAACAAAAAACCTAAAAAGCTGAAGAAGCCACCCAAGCTTCCCATTTCTTTCTTCCTGCTCCTTCGATATTACTTGAAGAGTCTTCAAAGGAAGGAATTGGACTCTCTGATATTGAGGAGCACATTCCTTCAGCCCAGACGGCTCAGGATATCATGTGCATGTCTCCAAGCTCAGGCTGATTTGAGGCTGCGCCAGATGCCAGCTGGGCCATTGCCCCTTCTAGCCCTCGATATTCAGGGTGGGCTGATACCGAGTCTCCATCTGGAGTCTGTCCACCACAGTCCTAGGAAGAACACAGAAAAGCGTAGACATACCATTCCATTCCAGCCTCAAGATGCAGGAGATGGGTACCATCCACAGGGTCCGCCACAGTTTGGCCACCCTTTCTATGCTCCATACCAACCGTACCAATACCAAGGCTACGCTTTCCCACCAGAGTTTCGAGGCACCACCTTTCCTCAGCCAGTGTGGCACCGTACCGTAGCCTCTCCCATGCTACAGTCACAGACTCAAGTGGATCTCTCCACACCACAGGCACCTTCGCATAAAAGGCGATTTCCGACAGTACCTACAGCACCTCCTAAATGCAGCAGCCGTCACTTCAGTTCAGGCTACTACTCTTTACTCTGGTCCCGGAGCTCATGATACTGAGCCTTTTTCTCTGTCTACTCAATCTGACATGGACATTGTACCAGAAGACACAGTACCATGGTGCTCCCCTTCAATCACCTCACAATGTTTTCATGGTGAACACTCTTAGGCATCTAGTGACTCTGACTTTCCTGATGCAGGTGGTCAGCGTCCGTCATCCCAACCCTCTCTAGAAGACTTCTCATCATATGCTCAACTCATCATGCATATGGCAAAAACTCTCCAGCTGGATGCAGAAATCCCTCAACAGGAAAGGGATTTCATTTTCCAAGATATGGAGCAGGACAAAGCCTCCCCTCCTAGCCTAAGTCTTATTCCAGCTCTCTTCGAACTGGTCAGAACCTCATGGGATAAGTCACCTGCGATGGCCCAAGTCCCATCAATATAAAACCCCATGGGTCAGACTCTGAATTCCTCACTAAGCATCCTTCGCCCAATTCCATCGTGGTCGAAGCTACCCAATACAAGTCGTGTACTGAATCATCGGTTATGCCCACTGACAAAGAGGGAGAGAAAACAGGCACCTTGAGCAAGAAGCTTTTTGCCTTTGTTGCCTTAATAATCAAGATAGCCAACTACCAAGAGTTTATGGGTGTTTACCAGAAACATCTTCGGGATAAAATACTCCAGATGTTACAATCCTTGCTTGATCCTTCTAAAACTGAAGCCCTCGATGTCTACGAAGAGGCTAATACCGTCACCAGGCAACAGAGGTTCTCCGCAAAACACACGGCGGACACCACCTCCACCTCCATGCTAACTGCAATTGCTGTCAGACACCACGCATGGCTCAGAACGGCTAACATCCTCGATCACACTAAGACTAAAATTGAAGATCTTCTCTTCGATGCTATTGGACTATTTAATTCCAAACCCGATGAAATTATGGAGAACATTCATAAAATGAGGAAGACAGTGAAATCTTACGTACTGTGCCAGGTGTATTGGTACCACAAACAGGCCTACAAAAAGCCTCTGTATCAATCTTCCACTCAGTACCAACCATTTCGGTACAACAAACAACAGCAGGACCGGACTTATCAGACCCAACAGTCCACCGCTCTGCTGTTCACACAACAACGCTTTCGTAGCCCCAAGCAGTCCTTTTGTAAGACTTAGCACATGCGTAATTAATTCTCCTAATTTTTCATTTACTACCAGACTGCTTCCATTCCTTTCCGAATGGCGCAACATCACTACTGACAAGTGGATTCTTAACATCATTGAGAAAGGCTACCTGATTGAATTCTCATGAAAACCTTTACCAAACTCAGTTAAAACTACTCCATTTTCCATGCCACTGCATTTGGAAATTTTGTCACTACTATCCAAAGGGGCTATAATCAGGGTACCATCCTCGGACACCAGCGAGGGCTTCTTCTCCTACTACTTCGCAGTACCCAGGAAGAACGGTGGTATAAGGCCCATCATGGATCTTAGAGACCTCAATCAGTACATGTTTTACAAGAAGTTCCATATGTTGACTCTTGACTCCATTCTCCCTCTTCTGTCTCAGGGAAACTGGTTCGTCACCATCGACTTGCAAGACGCCTACTTCCATATTTCCATCCAACCGTCTCATCAAAAATTTCTCCATTTCCGTTTCCACCACGACACCTTCCAATTCACTGCTCTCCTGTTCGGGCTCTCCACATCCCCCAGGACATTCACAAAATGCATGGCACCAGTAGTGGCATACCTGCGTACCAAGGGGATAACATTTTTCCCTACATTGAGGATTGGCTTCTAGTGGCAATATCCTACCAGGATGCAGTCTTTGCCACAGACTTTACCCTCTACACCCTATACAGACTCAACAGGGTGGAGAATCAACAGGAAAAAGTCAAACCTAATACCTTCCCAGATAGTCTCCTATATAGGAGCAACCCTGGACTCTGTTCGCTTGAGAGCCTTTCTACCGCCCCAACGGATTTGCAAGATCCAGGCGGCAGCTGTAGGATTCAGTCTGTCTGCAACTGTAACCGTGCACGATACTTAACACATTTTAGGTTTGATGGCGTCCACCACTTCGGTAGTACTTTACGCAAGGCTAAAACTCAGGCCACTCAAGTCCTGATTCCTCACCCAGTATGATTCCGTGATGGACCCTCCTACAAAAAAGCTATGGGTCCCTCCTCATGTAGCACGACATCTCATCTGGTGGATTATCCCCCACAATCTATCACTGGGATGACAATTTCATCTACTGTCTGTTATAAAAGCCTTCCAAGCTTTCCTGCCACGCATAAAGGGGCATGCAGTACAGCAGGTAACAGACAATACCAGAGTGATGCACTACATCAACAGACAGGGCGGAACTCAATCCTGGCCCCTTCTTCAACTAACTATGCAGTTTTGGGAATAGTGTCATATGCACCATATCTTCCCTCAAGCGATCCATATTGCGTCCAGGGACAATTGCCTGGTGGACCACCTAAGCAGGCTGCTCACCAGAATTCATGAGTGGGCCCCTGACCAAACAATTTTTCTAGAACTATGCCAACGATGGGGACAGCCCATGATAGATCTTTTTGCGTCCCATCTGAATGCCAAATGCAATGGGTACTGCTCCAGGGTGGGCATAGACACCTCCTCCCTAGGAGACGCCTTCCTCATACCGTGGTCTGGAGAACTAACTTACCTGTTTCCTCCAATACCACTGTTCCTCAAGAGTTTAACCAGAATCATTCAGTATCAAATGAACACAATCCTCATTGCCCCATGGTGGCCATGCCAGCCTTGGTTTGCCCACCTATCAGAAATAAGGGAGGAAATATTCCACTTACCTCCAATACCGTCCTTCCTCTCACAGAACGACGGGGCCCTTCTCTATTCCGATGTCCGGTCTCTTCACCTGACGCCATGGAGGATAACCCCCAATTTCGTGCGATCCTAGACCAAGCGCGAAAGCCGTCTACTTCCCACCTATATGACAGCAAATGGAAAGCCTTTACCAAATTTGCCCAAGCCAAAGGCATGGTCACAGTACCAGCATCCCTATCCACGGTACTTACCTTTCTGTTATGGCTACCTCCGGTCTAGATCAGACGGAAAGCTCTTTAATCTCTCTAGATTGAGAGCGAGGACCAAAGTCCAACTGAAATGCATACAGGACTTCCTCTTCACAG